GGGGCTGCCCACTCCAGGCAGGACTCAGCCTGAGCCAGGAGGGCGGGTCGGGCTGTGGAGTGTCCCGTGTCACGTGGCTGTGGGGCCAGTGGCCCTGGTCCAGCCCCGAGCATTGGGATGGCCATGGTGTCCAAGGGGACGGGAAGGCAGACGCCTCTGGCTTCCCCCTCCTCTTCCTCCCAGCCCACTGCAGGGCAGCTGGCTTTCATGCCCCTCCCTGTGCCCTGCAGGGACTGAGGAACATCCCCTGAAAGCCACTGATGACCGTGTGGTGGTGGCTACTGGGTCAAAATAGGAAAAGAAAGAATAATTACAGAAAAGATTTCGGGGGCAAATTTGTGGAGAGAAGGATGTCTTGCCCTCTTTTTCCCACTCAAAACAAAAGGTGATTCTAACAGTTAAGAAAAGCAAAATCCACCCCATATCCTCCCTCTGGAGGCTGTGTTAGGAACTGTGGTGCATCCAGACTGTGGAACATTACTCAGCCCTGAAGAGGGAGGATATAGGAACTCAGCTCCAACCCAGATGAACCCCAGATGATGCTGATGGCACGTGAAAGAAGCCATGCACAGAGGTGGACCTGAAACTGCAGGGTCAGGCACGTGGAAGGACAGAACGTGGCTTTGGGTACTGGAGGATGGGGTGGGGGGACAGCCTGGAGTTCCTTCTGCACAGTGAAAATGCTCTGGAATTAGAATGTGACGGTTGTGCAGCTTCGTGACTACACTAGGAAAGACGAAGCCGCACACTTTCAGAAGGTCAGCTCTGCAGTACGCTGAGTGTATTTTTTGGAAGAAATGCAGGGAGGGAGTTAAAGAAGAAAAATAATCAAGCAAGACCTTAGCGCTTCCCCTACTGGGCTTCCAGACAGGCTATCGGATGGGTGCCCCTCGAGTACCTAGCCGCTGCCCGAAGGCACAGCCCTCACTCTCCCTCTCGGGCCGGTGACTGCGGCCAGGACGACCCGCCTCCCTGCCATCCAGCCAAGCTGCTGTGCCATGGGGTTCGTCGGGGGAGCCAAGCGCTGCTCCCTGCAGACGAGGGGCTCGGGGAGCAGTGGGCAGTGCAGGCGGGGGTTGTGGGCTGGCCTGGCACTTGCGAGGAAGGCTCAGATCGCGGTAGAGAATGCGTTCGGCCACTAGGGGCCAGTGCTGCCCCAAGCTGGGCTGGGTGGACCTGCCCAGAACACTGCTCAGTGCCGGGTGCTGGGTGCTGGGTGCTGGGTGCACGCAGGGGCACACGGCATCTTTTCCCCTCTCCTCATCCTAAGGGACACGGGATGGCCCTGGGCCCGAAACCTGTACCCGGGGCTGGCATCTCAGGGTCCCCGGGAGGGCCTCACCCAGGGGCCCTGGGCGGCCACACCCGGTGCAGAGGCAGAAGTGCAGCGTTTGCGTTTGGATGGGTTCTGGCACCTTTTGAGCAGGAAAATATTTTTCCTTTTTTGTCATGAGTGTTTTCCTGGTCTAGGGGAGCCAGCGTCGGTGCCGGAACGTGTTTAATTAGGATCTGAATTCTCTTCGTCCCTGCCCCTGTTAACACTCTAATTAATACAAGGCTCCGTCTTTGTTCCAGGTCTCAACTTTCCAGGAGTTGAACCCCCACCAGAGCAGATGAGGGGGCGCTCGGGAGGGGTTAGGGGACCGAGCCCTGTTCCCCTAAATTCCAAAGAAGGAGCGGAACGGAGCGAAGCGGAGCGGCCCAGACTCGCTCTGCTGGGTGGTTTCTTGGGGCTCCTCACGGTCTGAAAACCAGCCCAGGAATGTTCTGTCTAAGAACAGATTCCAGAATTCGTGTGGGCTCTGGTTAGGGCCCCTAGCAAAACACATTTTAAGCACAGAGTCAATGTTAGAAATCTATAACTTAGGGCTTTAAAAAAAAATCTCTTCTATTTTGAAAGATCCTCAAGTTCACGTGAAACGCCCAGGGCTACATGAGAAATAGAAGCGTCAGTTACAGCTCCCCGCACCCAAGGAGCGGCACCAACACCCTTCCTTCAGCGGCAGGGCTCCCTGGGCCAGGGACGGAGGGGGACAGGGACGGCCCGGGTGGTTCATGTCCCCTCCCTACTCTAGGAGGGGCCCCTGGGAGGCCCTGAAGGGCCAGGCCTGGTGCCCAGGGATGGTGGCTCCCACACGGTAAGGGGCCGGACAGTGGTCCTCATGCGGTGCCACCTTTCTTGATGGAGCCCCGGGTGCGACCCTCCTCCTTCAGCTCTGCGTCCTGTGAGTACTCTGTGTGCCCCGGATCAGCACTCAGCACAGGCCCATGAAAATCAGATGAAAGCTACAGCCCCCTTGAACAGGCACACACGGCAGAGCCATTTAGAAGCTGCCCATTTCGGGTGGTGACAGGTGCCGGTAGCAGCAGCAGTGCTAGCTGTCAAGGCCAGCCCAGTGGGTCTGCACTCGAGCCAGGCCTGCGCCAACCTCCGCGTGCTGTTTCTTATCAACCCCAGGAGTTCAGGACTTATCACCACGTCCAGAGGAGGAGCTAGAGCTCGGAATAGGTAGTGCAGTCCACCATCGAGGTCCTGGCCTGGCCCCTGACCAGGAAATGGTGCAGGGCAGTCCCTGCGGTTCCCGCGCAGCCGCAGGTGTGTGGCTCCAGGAAAGCATGCCCACACCCGAACCCGTTCGCAGGGCTTGATTTCTGTTTATTTAAACCCAACCCACCCTATTTAAAGCCTTGTTGCAAAATATGCACTCCAGGGGTTCTGCAGCTGCCCTCCCTCCCAGGCCCTCCTTCCTACTGCATCCCAACCTTCCACCTGGGGCCCTGAGCTCAGGCATCCCCTCTGCCTTCTGGAACCCAAACTCCCACCCTGAGGCCTTCTCTGTGAGGTCCAAGTCCAAATCCAGGGTAGCTGGGTGTCCTGGACAGGTCCCACCTGGGGATGGGCTTTTCTCCAGCCCCCCACCCCTCCACACACTTCCCAAAAGCGCTGCCAGCCGAAACTGCTAGAATCACAAGGACCCAAAGCAACTCCGCCTTACAGGTCGATATAGCGCCTTCAAATCGCCTCCAGCGGGGAAGAGAAGACATCGTTTTGAGCAGCTTCGAGCAAAACTGGTTGAGCATGTGTGACATCTATACATCTCACATTAAGCGCCAGAAATGCTCTCTTCCTAAAGCTGCCCAGCGGCCTGTGCGACCACACTTGCATACAGTTCCTGGAATGGGGCTGGGGAAGGGACCCTCGATGGTCGCCGGCTGGACAGCCCCGCTGGGATGTGACTGGCTGCTCCTCACCACCTGCCGGGCTGGAGGATCCTCCCTCCAACCCCTGCGGCTGGAGGCTTAAGGGGCCCGCAGTGGCTCCCACTCCACCCATGGTGGCATAGTTCCAAAGCCAACAGGAGGGGGAATGTGGCAAAGCCCTCCCCGGGAGGACTGCAAAGTGCGACAGCCTCCCCCAGCTGTGCTCACAGGCGCTGGTGCGGTGTCTCAGCTCTAAGGCTCCCCTTCTCCGCGGGAGGTGAGGTGTATCCCAGGTTCTCAAGTTGTGACACCCCCGACCTGTTTTCTCGCAGTTCTGCCCACCTCTGCCTGGCGGTGGTGTGCCCCGGTCACCTCCAGAGCCCGCACCCTTGGCGTCTCGCTTGGGCAGTAGTTCGGCCTGGGAACCGGACGCCGCGCCCGGGAACTCGCATGCTGAGCTAGGCGCGCGGGTACAGCTCGTCTCCGCCGTCCTCTCCAAATCCTAAATGTCAGCCCAGGTTTTCTTTGCGTTTAAAACCTGCGCGAGGACTCCAGTTAGCTGCCCACTGGATCTCAAAGTCCTGGGAACTCTTTCTGCTTCCGTGCGCCTTACTGTAAATATGTGTTTTCCTAGCCGCCGCAGGCTCTTAACGGGGCTCTGGCCACCTCGGTCCCTGTCCCCCGCCTCGGGGGCCCAGTCGGGGGTCTCCGCGGATCAGCCAGGGTGGGGTCGGGTATTAGGCTCTGCACCGTGCCCGGGGCCCCAACACGCCGAGCCGCCACCCCTGGTCGCCACGGCCAGGGGCCCGGCCCCGCCTTTCCGCCCTGGTCCCTCTGCCCCGCCCCCCGGGGAGCCGGGTGGGGAAGCCGAGGGGGTGGGCCCGGCCACCAACCCCCGCCCGGCCGCGCCCCCGCGTCTCCATG